AACGGCGTAACAAACTCTTTATCTTGACAAAGTCTTGTCTTCCCCAAAATGCTAAATACAAATCCGGGACCAAGTGTGCCATTATGTTACAGCCACTTTGTTTTGGATCCTTAATCCTCCATAATCCAGACCGGACCAAAAATGTACAACCTTTCACCCTGTTTGCCCTGGGTCGACATGCTATTTAGTCCCGGGCTTTATTGGGGTTGCAGTGTGAAAACCTCACTTTTCTGACCTGGGTCGTAAGGGACGTAATGAGGCTCGTGCTTCTGTCCTAAAGGCAAAGATCACAATGGTGCGTGTATGTTGTAGTACAGGCCCCTGATGTCCAAAATGTTGTCATTAGTTTTCCTTGTTCTTGTGGTTTTGGTTTTGTATTGTTAAGCGGTGCAGAAAGATAAAATAAGATAAGAGTTCCTTTATTTGTCCCACAGTGGGGAAATTTTGTTGTTGCAGCGCACATACAGGACAGTAGTAAGAGCACACAGGGATCACACAATATATACAAAATTACCAGAATGTAATGTCCATGTGGGTTACTGACAGCTGTATATTATTGTACATCCTGACCAGCCTGTTGCGAGGGGCCTGTTGATATAATGATTTATATTCCAGTTTGATTTGCATACATTTATTTCTCTTTGCTGTATTATTGACATGTCATTTGCATGTTTTAGACAAAAGAATATTCATCAGTGTTCCTTATCTTATTTGGGAATTTTTTTTATTGATTAATTGAACGAATGATCTCTAACAATGAGTTAGCTACACCACACACAGTTTTATTGGCTCACTCGCACTGGAGCCACCTGCGCACAGATGTAAGCTGACTTGGTAGTACCAGAGGCGGTTATTGCTCATGTTCAGAGGCTTCCCACTGAACAGAACCCGGTCAGCTGCTCCTGTGACCTCCGATGTTGGCAGAAAGATGCCCGTTCCTGCACTTTATATTTTTCCTCCAGTCTATTCATAGCCACACCACCACCATCACCACCGCCGCTGCTGCCACTGCTCCCCCGCCTCGACTGACTTCCTGCCTTCCCTCTTGCTCAATTACTTCTCCTCCAACTCCCACATGTGGCTCGGCGCTCTCTGGCAGCTACTCTTACCTTGCGGAGGAGGATGTAGGAATGCCCCAGTCTCCGAGCGTTAACTTAAAGACAGACATGAGTGCTTTTGTCAGTGTCGGAGAGAGTAGTGTAGTGTTTTAGAGTCCAATTTGAACTCTTAGTGTTTTCTTGAGATTCACTGGGCTGCGGTGCCCTCTTCCCAAAAGGCGCGCAGCTGGGAAATTGCCTCAACAGCTGGCCAAATAGAAACGCACCATCCATTCATCATTTCAGCCATATTGCCGGCCAGCTTATACCTCCCACCTCTCGGAGCCGAGTGGGTCTAATTGTAGTTACAGTGCACATCTCGATGCATCATGATTTAAATAGTCGAGTGAGAGCGGCACTTGAGAGTGGAGACTAAATAAAGAACGCGTTTGAACACTGTGGGAAGAGGCCAGTGCTCAGTATGTGTTTCTCTGTGAAGGCTTATTGCCACAGCTACTCTCATGGCACGCTCCACAGCACAGTTTGGCTTTACTCCAGTTACTTCATACGATAAAGCTGAAGTAAGTAAAGACAGTGTTTTCAGATGCTTTGTCATTGTCTAAACATGAGTTGCACAGTGTAGTGCTGTATTGTAGAAGCTACTTTGCTCTGATGACATGGCAAAGTAGACTGGATGACATAGCTGGGCACTCAACTATTTTCTACTTGGTAAAAAGCATCTGTTTGACCGGTATGTACTTATTTTAGGTATTTACAGTAAGATAAAGTATAGATACATTTTATAAATCAGCTCTGGACAAAGCATAGGAATTGAAATATTTTTTGAATAGCATATTGCCCCGATCTTTAATGATTTCATCTTTGGTCTCTTCATAATTGGTGCCCATTGATTATTTTATGTATTTGAGTAAGGACAGCTCTTCCCTCGATGGGTTTTGTCTGTTTTAAATAGTCGCCCAGTAACTCAACACTGTGACAGACGTACAAACTTTCTTTGCTATTATAGAAAATATATGTAAAGAAATTAAAAGTGCATTGCTAATTGATGAACAATATTTATTTAAGACTTCTGGCATTGCAGTTACACACTCGTTATACCTGTATAACGAGTTCTTATCTTTAGAGAAAACAAATATTACAAACAAAACATGCAGAAGTTTCTGTTATCTTCTTAATCTTAAAAACAAGACTAACCTCTTCAAACCTGTATTACTCGTCCACGTTACATTGGACAAATTTGATGTTTTTACTTAAGTTTTAAATGGTGGCATTATCTATCATGCTCACTCCACACTAAACTGTACCAATGTGTTACGTATGGGTTAATGACACAAAAAAGTTCAGAAATGTCAGCGGTCGTTACTGCCAAATGTTCACAGCACCCACTATTTTTTCCAGCTTGTTTGTCCAGTGAAGGGGGTACTATAAACACTGATACGTTCACGCCCGCACTATAAATTAGCGCTCCAGACCGCCGGTTTGGACGTAACAACCAGTTGACGCAATGTGTTACGCCCACAACGCCCAGTTTGTCTGCGGTTATACATTATGCAAAAAAATATTAATCTATAATCTATAATTGGAGATTGATTATAGTTATTTATTATATGACTTGGACCGTACGCGAGCTCTGATTGGTTGATTTGCGGCCTGATATTTTCCCATCTCTGACCGTTACCATGACAATTGGTCCGAACAGCGCGTATCACATTTGATATCTTTTCACGGACCGTTACCATGACAATTGGTCCACATCCCGTATCACACAAAACCAAGTCGGGCATGAACATACTTCACAAATATCTCAAAAGCATTGGTAAAGACACAGACAAGATTCATATAATAAAACATTTATTAACCTCGCTTGCTCGGTCTGTACAGACCTCGCACTCGGTTAATAAGCCGTTAATCCCAAACCATTAGCCATTAAATAGTCTTCCTGTTAATTCTTCCATTCACAAAGCCATGTCCGATATGTAACAATTCAATTAATAATTCAATAAAACATTTTTTGAAAGGCATCAATTTTTCTTTATGGGTTTGAGCTGTTCATCTGAGATAATACTATAACTACATAGTGTTTAAAGAATTATTAGGTGCAAACATTTTTGGTTCATACATTTATTTTATGTCCACTTGAAGTAAGATTGACGCTTTGTACAGTTTAGTGTGGAGTTAGCCATCTATAACTAAAATGTGATGAGTAAAAAAACAGGTACTGTATTTTGGTTTAAGAGAAGGCAGTATATGTAGATGTTCTGAGAAGAATGAGTAGTCGGGTAAGTATAATCTCCTGTTCATTTTCAATTTATTTCCATTATAAATTTTTTGGTAAAAAAAATTCTCAAAGGACTTTACAAAGTTGTCGATTCCTCAACAAAAACCATAGGAGCCAATGTTCCATGGGGAGCAGGATGACCCATGTCCATAAATGTCCTGCATCATCACTGTCCTTAAACATTCTGCATCTGCAAGAAATGACTCAATGAGACCCAGTGTGGGAAGAAAAAAAATGTTGTGGCTTGAATAGAGGACTTATTTTAATTTATTGTAACAATGCATTCTCATATGTTGTTGTATTCAGTTCTCGGATGATCTTAATCTTGATTAGTCTAAATTGTGTTTGCCATTGTTGTGTGTCATATCTATTATTGCTAGCTTTAGTCAGAAGATGCATTTCCTGGCTCTTGTTCGCCATGCCACCCCCCACTCCCTCCCTTTGTGTCTTCATTTTGCTGATCCAACCTCCCCTCCGCCTGCTGACTAACTGACCCACATTCCTGCCCTCCCAGTCCATGCACACGGCTGGGCCTGTATCTGTTTGTCATCTTCCCCTTCTCACATTGTGCCGCACCTAAGAGACATCCTCTGCATTTGTCTTTGCTCCTAAAACTATGCCATATCCCTCAGGCTGCAAACTGAACCAATTAGAAGATTGCTCCTTAGTCACTCGGCAACGCAAATGATTGTTAAAACAAGTCATTTGTGCGCTGTTTGTTAGTCTGTTTTTGCTCGACCAGGTTCAGATGGATGGGGGTTTGAGAGATGACATTCTTTCAGCTTGGTTTAATTGGTGGTGCGTTCAGAGGTGGCACTCCCTCTTGTGGGCAGCGTAGTTTGTGCAGGGTTAGGTGACAGCTGTGACATGTGTGGGGAGGGGGCACATAGCACTTATTGAAGTAAATGGTCTTCAGAGAAAACACCTGAGACAGGCGCTGGTCAGTCATTTTATCACCACCAGGAGACTGTTATTGCTCTGTCAATACACAGGCTGTTCTTTTGGAGTCTGGTGTGTTGCTGCTTTTTCAATGTGTTAGTGGAATGCTTTATTTTCATAAATCAAACATGTAAAATAGGGAAATTGAAATATTCCAGACATAAAAATTACATGTGCTGCCATGCCATACTCATATTTGTTTTTTTTATAAAAAGCTAAAAAAAAATTAGCTTTAAGTATAATCGTGCTCAATTTGTTGTCAAATTATGATGCTTGTGTTGTGTGTGTGTGTGTATTCTTAAACACACAAATAATTAATAATTTGCTAAACTTAAAGGTAGAAGGGGACAGGGCTAAATAAGTATTAATTTGCTTCCTCCTTCTCCTTTCGGACATCACTTAATTTGTTTGTTTGTTGAAGCAGTGTCTTCTTGTTTGTGTATATACATGTGCATGTTTTCGTTTTGCGTTGTCCAAATAAAGATTAATTCATTCATATAGGCTGTTGGTGTTTGGTGTCGTTAGTTATGGTCATACTTACAGGGCCGTTGCTTAATTATTACTTAACATTGGTGTTCAATGACACAATGTAAATGTATTTCTTTCTAGGTATAACACATCGTCATCCATCTAAGTTTTCTTCCATCGAAGAACCATAGGACCAAAGGAGGAGCAGCGGTGGGCAGAAAGTCTCGAAAACCGAGGGCACCTCCGTGAGCACCAGGATGGCTCTGGCCGACAAACACAAAGTGAAACGGCAGCGGCTTGATCGGATCTGCGAAGGTACTGCATTTCCCCTCATCTCCGTGTATGCATTTGTCTTTTTACGGCACTGTTCTCGTTTTGAGACTTTTTTCTACTCTGCAAAGCCACTGGGATCGTTTGCATAAGAGTGTGTTTTCGCTCGTGTGTCAAAAGGCGCCTTGGGACCAGCTATTGCTTCAAACTGGCTCTTTGAAGACTGTCTAAGAACAGTGAATGGGGGCCGTGGAAGTGTTTTGTAGGAGGAGGCCGGGAGTGAGTTGATGGTTGAATAAAAGAGTGCATTTTCACATTACTTTCCAGATGAAGTAGGGAGTTTGTAATAAACTGAAGCGCTCCTCAGAGTCCTGATTGATTACAACGCCATTGATTTGTGGCTGTGTTTGTGAGCCTGCTTGTAAGAAAAAGACAAAGACTAAGCACAGATTTTCTTCTTCATTTCAACGCAATGGCTGCCTGTCAAAGCTGGTTCTACTAAATTAGTCATGCCATATCATTCATGTGAGTGTATTATAAGTTTTTCCCCTTGATTTAATGACTTGGAAAAGTTAATACCCCTCCATAATTTCTTATAAAATAAAACCATTTCTTATTTTTGTGGAGTTTTTCCAGTGGTGAAAGATTGAGAACACACTCAGCGGTTTAAAAGTACAATTTATTCAGGGTTGTCCACAAGATGACTCAAAGTATGATGTCATTGTTGTTCATATCTCTCCATAGGAATGATCAGATCACAATAAACTGAGTAATGGCCAAAGTCCTCATCAGTATTAGCCCTAGCCTTACCTTTCGGCTGATTTGAAGCAGATTTACTGGGGAGGGGCTGTATAATATATTACGTGTGTTCTTCTTGTAATTATAGAAGTAGAAACTAGAGATTGATCGACATTTCAGTTTGCCTGACGTTTTTTTTTAAAGATACTGCAGATAAGCAGCGTTAGTTGGCAATTAGGCCATTTCTAGAGGTTATTTGATTTTGGCGTCATGGATATTGATGGGAATACGTTTATTTCATCGAGGGAAAGGATGAATGTGAACAGAAAGATATCCAGTAGAATGTTTGTTCATAGCTCATCTTCAATTTATTTTGTTATAGTACTAAATCACAACACCAGTCGTCTCGGATCACTTTTCGATTTACTATCGACAACAAATCAGAGAATCAAACGGTTTGAACACAGGAATTGCAATAATAACAAACGCCATTGGTCCATAGGGAGTAGGATGACCAATGTCCAGTAATGTTAATAAATCTCTATAAATGATAATAAATATAAATAAATGCTCAAAAAAAAAAAAAACAATGAGAAACCTCAGGGAGGCCAACATGAAGAAAGGGATCAGCTCCCACAGACTGTAGATCCAGGACTCGGGTAGTAGAATGAGGACTGAGGCTGTGTGGTGCAGGACTGAGGTGGCTCCAAGGCAGGGAGGGGGTACAGCCCGCAAGTCCGAGTCGGAGGCGACCAGGCAGGTTTTTTTCCGCAGTTATCTTTGTGTATTGCAACATGGTAGCGTTTCGGATATTTCTTTTTGATTTTTATGAACAAAATGTTGTGATTGGATTGAAACAACTGGAGCAAAGTTAAAGAGGATTTTTTTTGTTTTCTTGCGAGAATTGGCTTTCATTTAATGAGGTATCACATTGTAGCATATCAGGCAGGGGGAAAGAAGTTAAGGGCGATTTATTAGTCAACCTCGAGTACAACATTTTGTGCGAATCTTGTGTGTTTTCAACAAGACAACATTGATCATCCTCCTATCGTTTCATTTTTATTTTTCAGACTGGCATACACTTTTAGTTCAATTTTCTTTTGCTCAACCCTACTTGGTGCTTTTAAATAGACCTTCTCTCAGCAAACTCCATTTGCACAGAATTAGAAAAGCCTCCATTAGCTTTGTTCATTCCAAGGAAAAATCTACTCGAGATCCAACATAATAGCTGCGCAAATGAAGCCGCGATACACTGTGTTTCCAGCCCCCGAATGAGAGCCACATGTGCCATTCCAACCACTCCAAGACCACTATCGCATGCTCCAAGATATTTCTCATCCACTCATCTTTACTGCAACCAAAAGGCGCTTAACATTCTTAAAAGTGTTGTCGCCTCCACATATTTGTTGAAGGATTCAGCAGCCCTTTGCTCAACTCATCAGCCACAAAGTGAGTACAAATGGTTTTCTCTGATAGCATTGTTCCTTTTCAAAAATGTCTCGAGAGTGATTCATGTTGAGAGATTTATATAATCTCTCTGTTAAACACAATTCAGCTTTGAAGTTGTTATTTTAGCTATCTATACTGATCTATTACATCCAAATTATGTTTTATAATAGTGAATAAAAGTCATTATATCTAGACCTTTTGGTAGCATGATTGTGTTATGACAGACAGCCTTATATTTTTCTCGCAATTGGCACACTGCTGTTTTTCATGAGTAAATCTGTAAGTTAATCATTTGGAAAGACGTGTATTTGATATGACTATTCTCACCAAATGCTTTAGTTAAAACAGTAGTAGGGTTCCAGCAATAAGGAGATTTAGGTAGGCAAAAAACAGACCTGAAATTGTGGGAGTGAAATACTTACTATAATGAACTTTTGGCACAAACATGTAAAAGCTCCTGTCTCAGTCCTAATAGTATGATGTCATTGTACCACTATGACATCACACAGAGCTCAGAGAGATCTGCCTTTTAAAACAAAAGCTTTGCCATTAGTTCTAGCCATTTTTCAGGTGAAATTTAAGCTACAGCACAATCAAATAGCTGTGTTTTCAGTAATTTTCAAATTAACCAAGTATAGTGCAGTGACTGGAGGGAAGCATTTTTTACCCTTTCATCCTTGTTTCACCATATTTGTTTCTACTTTAATTACTATTTCACAAACATGAAAAATTATTATGATTTTCAATGGTAAAAATATGCATAATATTTCTTCTATACGACTTGAACATTGTCTGTTTGAGGAGTTTGAGAACACAATACTTTAATCATTGTTTTCGTCAACCACAGTTATGATTTAGACAAAACGCGACAAACGTGGACATATTTTAAGTGACAAAATTAGTACTGCACCAAGGATTACTATGTCCATGCTTTGCCCACCTCCTGGAGTGTATGTAAGTGGTCTTTGCCCTAATACCGTTAGTCACCACCACTGCTCCATAAACGTCCAGGGGTGGGTGATTCACACTGAAAGATGAGGGGAGTGAATCATAGCGTTTTCATGGTCAGGTTCAATAAAATAAGAAAAACATCTAGAGGGACAGGACTGTTGTGCGGTGCAATGTCAAAAACACCCAATATTATCTGTAAACAGAGCGGGGACTGAAGCGTGAAATAGAAATCAAAGTTGATATTGTATGTATTGACAAAATAAGGAGATGGGGTGTGCCTTTGATTGCGCTGTGGCAGAGAGAAGAGCTTTCCTAATCTGCATTTATCTTCTCAGGATAACTGTGTCAATCCAATACTTGTCTCACAGCGGAGTGCATTGATTACGTCTCGACTCATTGTGATGAGTGGCCAGTCGAGCTGTGCCTACCCATCTAAACTCGATTGGAAATGGCTGATCAAATGTGCATGTTTACTCCTATCAAAAGCAGTCACGGTCCAGGAATGTTCATTTTGAGCCCAACCGTGAATGGTGCCTCAGACTGAAGATAACTGATCCTCGGACCAGATTATCCACCCTCTCTCTCTATCTTCCTCCTTTCATCTCAGATTTTTGAGTGGACATCCAAGACCAAAATTGCGAATCAATTACGTCTCGGCCACTTTGAAACTGCACTTTATTTGGTGTAGAAGTCTAGTCACACAGTTTGTTTCGTCGTGAAGTGGCACATGAAAATTTAGCAGGCGATTTCAAAACTTCTAAAGATAGATGTGTGTTCCATACAGTTCTTTTAATGAGCAAAGTTTCTACTCGACCATTTCTTTATTGTTAGAAAGTTCTCAAACCAATCAATTCCTATATTGGTCTATAGGCTGCAGTTCTGCTATAGGGTGGATCAATCTTCCATTGTTTGAATATAGTAGAAAAGATCAATAGTAATAGTTTGTTCTTGATCCCATTTCCAAATACAAAGTAAAACAAAACAAGAATCCAGCCATTCCCTTTGAGTCAGAACAAACCATTGTTAAGACCTTGTCATTTACTATTATGCGTCAACATGAGACATACACCATAGTTTTAGTGACATTACTTATTGTTTTTGAAATATAAAGATTCTGTTGTCCTTGAAACATCAAATTTTTTTCTTCTTTTGCTCTGTTAATTAAGGAATACTTCCAACTGGAGCTCGCGTAAGCATATCCTCTTTTGAGGGCTGTGACTAGGGAGGTGAGCCTCCTGCTGTCCTCCTAGATGTATTATTTTTTCAAGATTTATGATACTTACCATGCTTCTTGGCATATTTCAGTTAATCTTTCGTTTACATATCAGATATCCAAATGTATATGTTTGAATGGTCCATCTGTAAAGTGCTTGGTGCTTTTCCAGCTGAAGTGTAAGTGCAATAAGGGAACGGTGGTAAACATCTGTTGTGAGCATCAGTTCCTGTACTCCGTTATCCCCCTTTTCGGTCTAACTCTGTTCCCGTGTGTCCTTCTGTCTGCTCCATCTGTGTACTCAGCATGCTTTTGGCTTGGGCAGTGGCACAATTTGATGGCAGTGCGGCTGAGCCAGTGTTAACTGACTGGTCCGTTAGAGATGGATGCGATCGCTGCAGTGACGTGACAGCATGTTCCTGAATTTTGATTTACAAGTTGTAAATCTGTGCTTGGACGCAGACACCACAAGGTGGGGTAGTGGAATCTGTTGCTGTGGATCAAATGTATCAGAAAACCTTGTTTACCTCAGATTTGTTTTGTGTTTGAATTATGTGCTGGAGATATTCTTCTTTGTTGAAAAAGGTAATTGAATGAAGCTCTTTAATATATGCTATAAGTGTGATTAAACAGTATTATTGAGCACAGTTTTATAAATTCATACTTATGCAATCCTTCATAGGTAGTTTTCACT